AGAGAGAATTCCTTATGGGTTTTTTCAGACAAGGAAGTGTGGTGGGAAAGTAAGAGAAAGTAAGATCAGCAGTTGTAGCCTTTTCCAAGCTCTTTGGAAATAAGATAATAAGAAAAAAACAGAATGTTCCTTGCATGGGAAAAAAAAAACTCCTGAGAAATTAAAAAAGCCAATTCAGCACAGCACTACTGTGGGGCTTCCAAGAAAGAGGCAATCACTCAGTTGGGGGAGAGACGGTTGCCCTGACAACTAGAATTTAGGACTTCTTGGAGTACGTGTATAATAGCACCCCCCACACACACACACACACACACCAATGTGTAAAATATACTTCTAGTTTCAATCTTGTTATAATTGCTAATGCTGTTTTTTACCCTTTTCTAGAATTGGGGGCTATCTGTCTGTAGAATAAGCATGGCTTCTCCCTGAATTATATCTGGTAATCCAAACTGGATTTTCTGTTTGTGTGTGTGTGTGTGTGTGTGTGTGCGCGCGCGCACACACGTGTACAGTTGTTTCTTCAGTTGCATAAAGAGTCCATATTACCAAAATACATATGAACAAAAGAATTCATCTCTGATTCCCATTTGTGTTACCACCTTTTTCTGGGCCTTTAAAAGCAACTAGGAATTTAGCTGCTGAGTTATTGCTTGAGTTTTCTTTGTGATGTGCCTGTTATTGGAGCCCTTTCAAAAATAAGTAGCAGTGTCAGTTCAAATGGAGTTGGAGTCAAGTTGACTCCTGCCGCATAAGAACAGGCATTGCTATCTTTTTTCAAGGTGAGCTCCCCGTACCTTTTAAAAAGACCCTAGCAGGTTAGTATTTTTTTTTCTGCTCAACCAAGGGACAACCCCTTGTCAAAGGTGTTAAATGTGGGTGATACATGGGTTGAACATCAGGGAATCTCCGGACTGTAGGCTTTGTTGGGAAATTGAAAAGGCATTCCTCCCCATTGACTTCTTATTGTTGCCAAGAAAATATGGATGTGTCCATATAGTCATCTGAACATCTAAAATTAAGCTTGATTGAGGAAAGGTTACAGGTAGTCCTCAAATTAGCAACAATACAGTTAGCAATTAGCAACCGTTCAAAGTTATAAATGCACTGGAAAAAGTGGGCTTACAACCAGTACTTGCTCTTAAAACTGTTGCAACCTGCCCACAGTCACCTGATCAAATTGGCAATGGGCATGTATTTATAACAGTTGCACTGCCCCAGGGTCATGTGAGTGCCGTTTGTGACCTCAGTCAGCCTGTATCAGCAAAGTCAATGGGGGAAGCCAGATTTGTTTAACAATTGTGTTATTAACTGCAAGAGATTCGCTTAACAACCATGGCAAAAAAGGTCATAAAATTGGATGTGGCTCACTTAACTGCTTTGCTTAACAACTGAAATCCTCAATTGTGGTTGTAACTCGAGAACTGTCTGTACATTTTCATACCTTTTGTTTGAACATATTTGATGTGAATTTCCTTTTCTGGAGTGCTTCCACCATCAAAAGCTAGTATGTTGGTTGTAGCTTTTTCTCAAAAATTGAATGCAAAATAGATAATCCTGGAATATTGGTCTGCCATCTAATTGGCTTAACCTTCTCAATATGTCTCAACATTGATGTTAATGTTTCTGAAATGTATTGATTGGTTAAGTCGTACCCATCACTGACATCTGCCTGGAGGCAAGGAGGACCTGTGTTATGTGTCATGACAAACAATATAAATTTGGTACCTATGCAAGACTTTATGACATCAGATAATTGCATCATTTGTTTTATGATATGATACATGTGCCATTTTTAAGTCAGTGTGTCTTGTAGGTATTTCTGTTTACTGATGCTACTGCTGTTCTGTAATGCTAATTGTTTTATGTCTGCATTTTGGTTTTAATGTGCTTTTTCTACAGTCCACTTTTTAAAAATGTTAAGGAAAACTCCTTCCAAGCCTTAAGCAGATACGAAGTCCTTTTGATTTTAATAGAACAATGCCATGGTCTTTATAGATCTAATTCAGGTATTACCAGAACTTCAAGGATGAGTCTTTGTTTTATTCTGCATAAAATACAGTCGATTCATCATTCAGTTGTTTCATTGAAATTAGAAGAGGTTAATTAATACACAAACATCTCCTTATTTCCCATAGATTGTCAGCCTATATGACAAGCATAGTTTCTAAGTGTGCCTTTTCTCATTCTGGAGATGCTTTGATGGCACAAGTTTTTTCAAAATTCTGAATTTCCCTTATCATCCAGCTTTTGAAATTGTGAGAATCTTATAGAGAGGGGGAGATGCTGTCCAGTTTTTGCATGGACCTGCAAAGGTTTTAGAAAGGATAAATATATCTTGAATATTTATACCTGCAAGTTTATCTGAGATGCAAACAATCTAATACCATGAATGACCAGCCCATGATTCAAGTTAATGTTTTACGACTCACCATGGGCAGCATCTTCTCTCTCTCCACTCTTCCCTGGGAAAATGGGTGAGATAAATGAATCTGGGTATCCTTAAAAAAAGGCAAGTGTGATATCCTGAGTCTTTTGGAACTTTCAATCTTGGACCAACTTTGTGGTTCTTCTCGTCCATCTTATTAGGTGAGGCCAACTTATTTTCCAAAGAACATAATGAAAATAAAAATATTTTCCAAAGGAAAAAAAACTTATTTTGGATCTTATTAGTGGGGTTCAACTTATTTTCTAAAGCACCAAAGGACAGGACAAGAAACAATGGATGGGAATTAATTAAGGAAGGAAACACCCTGGAATTAAGGAGAAACTTCCTAACAGTGAGAACAATTAACTAGTAGAACAGCTTGTCTTAAGAAGTTGTAGGTGCTTCATCACTGGAGGTTTTTAAGAAGAGACTGGACAGACACCTATCTGACTTGGTATAGGGTCTCCTGCTTGAGCAGAGGGTTGGACTGGAAGACCTCTAAGATTCCTTCCAGCTCTATTCTGAATTTGAAATATTATACATGTCTAGACTGTGCTTAAGTACAAGTTCTGGACCTTCATTGCATATTGATATGTCCATGGATGTATGTAAGGCAACCCAACTGTACGATGTTATTATTCTGTGTCATTTATCTTGGCATTCCTTTTTTGCATTATTGCATTAAATTTATTAATCTCATTTATTGCATTAAATCTCTTTCTCCTTCCCCTTTATCCCATTGCTTCTTTAGTATTTTCACCACCCAGTAGTCAAGATTCTGGCTTGGTTTCCCTTTCCAGCAGCTCTCCCATCAGCAATGAAAGTACCAAGGCTGTGCTGGAGTGCGAATCCGCCTCTGACTCCAGCACCTTTCCAGTTCATTCTGTTATGGAAGATGGCGAATAAGCAGGATGGAAAAAATAAAAGTCCTGGTGTGGATTCCCTTGAAGAAGTGCCTTCCTGTTAATTTGGGTTTGCCTGTTTTGTGATGACAGATGCTGAAATAACTGTTGATAAAATGTTCACTTATTCCCTTTATATTTGTTCTGCACTTTGTGATTTTCAGTCTTAGTTAAGAATGAGTATAGTGTAAAGGGCTACAAGAGCATTACCCTTAAATATTTTGAAAGAAATTTATTGGTATTCTTTAATTCTTTTTTTAAAAGTCCCTTTTTGACTAATAAACAGTATATAAATAAAATTAAAGATTATTTTGTAGATAAAATGTAATCGAAGTTCAGTGTATGCAAAAGATTCTTAGATTTGCTTAAAATTGATGTATCTAGCACAAAAAGGGCTTGATTAATTCTTTAATGGTGTTCAAAAGCAAGATATTTCAGATATGAAAATTTGAGAAATAGATACCTTCCTGTTGTGAAACAGAATTGCTCTTCCTTTTTAAAGCTGCACTGCATGAGTTAAGATTGAGATGTAAGATTCTATGTTTTACAGACCCAAGGATCTTTTTTCTTGATATATAAAAGTAGATAAAAGTTAAAGCAAGAATGGTATTTTTTAATTAATAAAAAGTCTGTGATGGATTTTTCTTAGTTCTGTTTTAATGGAAGACACTGTATTTTGACCAGATATAGCCTCTATTGCTAGCATAAAATGTAAACAAAAAAGTTTGTACAAGTTAAGCTATTTGCTACAATGCTCCAAGTAAAAATGGCCTTTTAAAGTTATTATAGCTTTTTTTCAATATTCTGTTAAAAATGCCTTAGCATGTACTTTCTCTTAGTTACAGAAGCCAACCAGAAATAAAATGCTCTTTAAAAGAATTCATTGTTCTCTATAGTTGCAGTAGTACTGAAATAAAAATGTTATTGATGACCAAATTTTCTTGTGTGTGCATAGTTGGTAAGCTGTATTAAACAGGGGGAAAAAGAAATTACTTGTATTTTCTTCACTCTGTGCTTTGAAAACATCTATTTGATTTCGCCCCCATCTGTTGTAATCAATAACCTGACCATCTTGTTTTTTATTAAATGCACTTACTCTTAATTTCATCCACCAGTGGTTTTAGAGAGAATAATGTGGAGTTACCTATATGGGTTTGACATTATAAATCACTTCTTGGGGCTGAATTGTATAGTGGTATCGATTGATCCTGATATATCACAGAAATTTACTGTCACTTCTGTTTTCAATTAAAGATACAATCAGTCAGATAATGACTTAATTGGATTTTACAGAAGATTGAGTTTTATTGCCCGGTGCTTTACGAGTTTAGTTAAGGAAGATCATTTTATCACACTTGTCAGCCTGCGACTGCAGTCGGGTGCCTTCTGCTGCAGGCTGCTCCTGTTGCCATTGTGACAGACACATAGTTGGAGCAGAGGGCAAGGAAAAGAGTCTTAAGGACGAGGCAGCCGAGATGGGCAGCTAACAGCCAACTGCAGCCAAGACAATGCCTCCCCCTGTTCACTTTCCTTCTAAACTGTTGAAATATAGAGCTGGAGTTTCCTAGTGGAGCTCACAGTTTCTCTCCTGAGTTCAGTTGTCTCTTTCCTCTCTCCATCATCCAAGGAGAACATCATGCAACAATGGAAGAGAGGTGGGTGTTTATATGAAAGAATGCCACTGTGCCAGTCCAATCCTGGCAGGGATAAGATGAATTTAGAAGCATCCTCGCCTCCCTGGCACTACACAAGGGTCAGATTACATTCTATATCAAGTTTTTCTTTCAGGTCTGTGCTTTAATACATTAGCAAAAGTTGCATAGCCATATAAAAGTAATGTAGGACAACTTTGCTATTAAAAACAAATTCAATTGGAATTATGAGAAGAAATACACAAGATAACCTTACCAACAAATAAAGATGGCAATCCTTTTATTCTTTCCTCCAAATATTTATTTCACAGGAGAGCTGTGTTAGTTCAAAAATCAGAAATAAGTCTGATAGTGCCTACAGCTCACTTAACTACTCCATGTATCTGTTTAAGCATATTCATTTGCTATTGGGCTCTTCAAAATATATATATACCGGTAATTAATTTTTACATGAGTGTGACTTATGTGAATCTATACCTATTTACAAATGAAGAAAGATTCAGAGTAACTTACATAAACAAAACACCATCATTTATATATACTCTAAATTGAATGTGTATCATGACATTCTGTCCAGTCTCAAGGTATTTCAAACAATACATTGAAGTATTAAGTATTTCACTCTTAATCCATTTGGGTAAAGTTGCCCACCTTTATAAATTATAATAGCTTCCCAAATAGAGTCTAGATAATGGAAATAATTAAATGAAGCCTGGTCTAAACTTCCTTTTGGAGATCAAGCTGCTCTTTCCAAAATATAAGTGACCATGTAACAACCAGGACAAAAATAATGAAGGTATGGAATAGGAACTGATAGTACCTTCATCCTTTCAATATGAGAAATTCAGATTTTGCTATCTTCCTGCGTTTGGGAGGTGGTGGAATGAAATCTATTGGGGGGAAAACGGCTGCAAACAAGAATTGGCAATTGTCCTGAGTTCAATTCCCAATCTATAACTACCAACATAATGGGCCAAAAAAGCAAATTTTCCTACATGTATCAAAAGCACTTCCACAATAACACCAGATATTTTTACACACTCAAAGGGAAAAGTTAGAATTGCATACAGCAGATGCAATTCCATTACCATCAAGTGTCCCACAATTCCATTACCCTCGAGTGTCTCTTAGATCATTTTTATATATGAATTTGAGGGTTGTACTTTACTGTTATCCCCATGAGTGAATGTTTTTAACAAAATTGTATTTAAAATCTTTAAAGAAACGATGGAAAAACCATTGCCCTATTCCAGAAGAGAAGATAGTATCTGCTAAACTCCAGGGTCTTGTATTATTTAGGGAAGGTTAAAAATCTAGTGTTACCTATATAAAGCTGGAAAGCTGAAGAATAAAATGGAAAATGAAATGAGTATTAAATTAGAAGAAACAAGTAACAAAAAATAGATTCCAACTCAGATTCACAACACTTAAAATCTGTTTACAGCCATTACCAGCGTAATTCCAGCTACAATTTACCCTCGCTGAAGCCAATGAGAAAAATCCCCATATACATTTTTATACGATTGAAATGTTAATTTACATATTTGTATGTTGTTCCTAACACATTTGCATTTGCACCTTTGAGAAAATTGCTGAAGCGTTTCTTGCGGTTAAATAATTGTTTCCCCTTCAACCTTTTTTCAAGGGTTGATTGAGAAGGCATATATATCTTAGGGGCGAGAGTTGCAATGTTACCATAATTAAATCTGTAGTAACTTAGTTTAGATCATAGTGTCAGCATCATGCAGAATTGGTACTATATAGGCAATTCAATCAAACATTATCTTTTGTTTCTGATTAATATCCATAAATGAAGGTTAGAGCAAAGCCAAAGTCATAAAGCTGACAATTTTTGAGTCTCCTATCTTGTGTGTGTGTGTGTGTGTGCGCGCGCGCGCATACTGTATACAACAAATGTTGACAATAGTACAAGCAACCCTAACACCTAAGAATAAGTATTGGAGTGTTTTGGGTTTTTTTTGCATTTTGATGGTTTCAAAAGAACAGTAAAACCTTAAAAACCAAAAATAGCAAGACTTTAAATCTATTTGCAATTCATTATTCCCATGTACACCCTTTTAATAGAATTATTTTGGTGGACCAACTATTTCATTAATAGTTTACAACTTGAAATCCTTTTTTTACATCACTACATACATTTAAGCAATATTAAGATTGCTTTTGGTCATATGCAAAGTGTAACTTATTTTACAAATGCTTGACAAAATGAAGGCTATCTAATAAATAGTAATTTAATGTAAGAGTGTATAGGTTCCGTGCTTATAGGAGATATATTAAGGTGTTACATTATTTTATAAGGAGTGCCTTATATTTTTGTTTCTTCATTCATGTACTTGTGACACCATGATCTTATCCAGCTAAAACTAAGTCACACATACAGCTATGAACCCAATCATGTTAATTACAGAAATTAATCATTGCCTATTTACTCCAATGGGCACAAATTTTGGCAAGATGTTCCAGTTAATAAGCAGGTGCTTTTAAGAGCATCTAAGCCAATGCATTTTAAGAGCATACAGAATGGTGAAAAAGCATAATCCTTTACCAGTGAGAATGAACTACCCCCCCCCCAAAAAAAAACCTCTCAGGTAACAATTTACTCTTGGAACTAGGTCCAAAAATGTACTTACATAAATACATGTTTAGTGAAATTTAAACATGTGAAATCTGAACCAATTCAAGCAGGCTTGCCTCTTGTTAACTAACAGGCAAAAAAAATATCCTTGCAAATTAATCTATTTAAGAGGGCTTTCCCCTGCCCCATTCCTTAGATGAGTTAAATCCTGCTGGTTTAATTTAACTTCACATCCCCAATTCCAGAATTAAGATCTGATTCAAACTGCGTTTATTTAACAATAGATAAAATGAAAATTCTTCCAAGTGATTCACTGAAGTGTGACCGGTTTCAAATTCAAGGAAGTGACATTCTTGCAAAGAAGCTAGTACAAACACACACACAACACACTGCCAAAGCGCTACTAGTTTTTATTCCGAATGCATAAGTACAATGTGCTGGAGGAAAATCACGCCGACGGCGTCCTTTCCTAACCGCAGATTAAAATCCCCCTGTACCCATCGGCCTCACTCTCAGTCCGTATGGCCGCGATCTCTGGAAATTACGGAACTTGAGGTCGAGACGGCTGGAGGAACCGGAGCTGCGTTATACACTCGGGCACTCATACTCGGGGCTGCTGAGCGTTTGACGGGGCGTGAAAGGCCAGGCGAGCCGGGCCCGCTTCTTCCTCGCTGCACCAACTCCAGCATCTCTGAACGACCCTTCCTCGCCTTTCCCAGAGAAGCCGGGCCGAGAGGGCGCCTGTGCCGTCCGTCGCAGCTCGCCCCAAAGCTTCAACGCCGGGAAGGCCTTTGCACCCCGGTGAGGCTGCAGGGCG